CACTGAAATTGAGTGTTTTGGCCAGTTTGACATTGCTTTTGATCATTCAGTCATCTTGCTTACATTTACATTAAAGAGGCACTTGTAGGTCAGACAAATATAACATAACAGTTATAATGAAATAACCACAAATGTCTTTTCTGTGCTCACAGCATTATCAGTTTTATTCAACCCCCAAGTGACATTCAATCTTAGTACTTAGTACAGCATCCTTTTACAGTTATAACAGCTTTTAAACGTGAAGCATAGCTTGACACAAGTGTCTTGCAGCGATCTACGGGTATCTTCGCCCATTCTTCATGGGCAAAGGCCTCCAGTTCAGTCACATTCTTAGGCTTGCGCACTGCAAACTGCTTTCTTTAAGTTCCACCAGAGGTTCTCAATCGGATTTAAGTCTGGTGACTGCGATGGCCACTCCAAAATGTTCCAGCCTTTCCTCTGCAACCATGCTCTAGTGGACTTGGAGGTATGCTTGGGATCATTGTCCTGTTGAAAGGTCCAACGTCTCCCAAGCCTCAGGTGTGTGACGGACTGCATCACGTTTCCATCCAATATCTCCTGGTACTGAAGAGAATTCATGGTACCTTGCACACGCTGAAGCTTCCCTGTACCTGCAGAAGCAAAACAGCCCCAAAGCATGATTGACCCTCCACCATGCTTCACAGTAGGCAAGGTGTTCTTTTTCATCATAGGCCTTGTTCTTCCTCCTCCAAACATAGCGTTGATCCATGGGCCCAAACAGTTCTAATTTTGTTTCATCAGTCCACAGAACACTATCCCCACAACTTTTGTGGTTTGTCCACATGGCTTTTTGGCATACTGCAGTCGACTCTTCTTATTCTTTGGAGACAGCAAGGGGGTACGCCTGGGAGTTCTGGCACGGAGGCCTTCATTACGCAGTGTGCGTCTTATTGTCTGGGCTGAAACTTCTGTACCCCACATCTGACAAATCTTTTCTCAGTTCCTCAGCAGTCACACGGGGACTTCTCTCCACTCTACGCTTCAGGTAGCGCACAGCAGTCGAAGTCAGCATCTTCTTTCTGCCACGACCAGGGTAGCGTTTCAACAGTGCCCTTTGCCCCTTGAATTTGCGAATGATGCTTCCTAAGGGTCTCTTGGTATGTTTAACATCTTTGCAATCTTCTTATAGCCATTGCCCTTCCTGTGAAGAGAAAATCACCTATCTTCTTTGTCTTCCTGGACCATTCTCTTGCCTTCACCATGTTTGTAAACCACACCAGTAAATGTCTAGAAGGAGCTGAGTATCACAGTCATTTTAAAGCTGCCTAATTGGTGCTTATTATGCTTGATTGCTGCTCGGTGACATCCACAGGTGTTTTCAATACCTGATGGAAAGCACCTGTATGAACCTCTGTTCTTCAGAGTGGTAGTCTTTAAGGGGTTGAATAATTGTGGCAATGAAAACCACATAAGTAACCATTTACTACTGTATTACATAAAACATTGATGTCATTTTAGTTGCATTTGGGTAGTTACAACGTCCTTGTAGGATTTGATTCTGAATACAATTCCAAATGTACACTATAGTCCCTAAACCCCTTTACAGCATTGGGGGTGAATAATTTTGGACACAACTGTACCTGGTTCTGTATATCCAGTATATGGCAGGGGGTATATACCTGGTTCTGTATATGGCAGGGGGTATATACCCGGTTCTGTATGAAATTCCTGTATATGGCAGGGGGTATATACCCGGTTCTGTATATGGCAGGGGGTATATACCCGGTTCTGTATATCCTGTATATGGCAGGGGTATGTACCCGGTTCTGTATATCCTGTATATGGCAGGGGGTATATACCCGGTTCTGTATATGGCAGGGGGTATATACCCGGTTCTGTATATCCTGTATATGGCAGGGGGTATGTACCCGGTTCTGTATATCCTGTATATGGCAGGTAGTATATACTCGGTTCTGTATATCCTGTATATGGCAGGGGGTATATACCCGGTTCTGTATATGGCAGGTGGTATATACCTGGTTCTGTATATGGCAGGTGGTATATACCTGGTTCTCTATATCCTGTATATGGCAGGGGTATATACCTGGTTCTGTATATCCTGTATATGGCAGGTGGTTTATACCCGGATCTGTAAAAGTTCAGTATTCCCAGTTGTGTATATCCTCTCTGTAGACTGCAGTGCGGTCACGCCTGTATTACGTTGATCATGTATGCCGTCATTCATGTCCACTTATCTCCTGTGCAGGGACATCACCATGTTTGATACGGGGGAGTGGAACGATAACCTGGAGGCACAGTCTCTGACGGAGAGTCTGGTGAGCACCCAGAAGAGGAGAGTTCCCGACACCCAGCAGGAGAAGGTGGGTACACTCAGCGGCAGGAAATTCTAAATGAGAACAGCTGAATGAAAAGGACCAGTATGCTGGAGAATTTCTGTCTGGCCTGAACGGACTAACACACAGCACTTTGAGATGCCTACCCAGACCTTTCCTCAGGGTGGGAGTTTAGCCCTGTCTAGGTCAGTGAAGGGAATGATGGAGGAGAGACGAGTTTTTTATTACGATTCACATTTTGAAGTGACTTTCACATTTTCCTTCTTTGCTGTACCATATGTATGGCCGGTGGTGGGAGGAGTTGTGTATTTGCATGCAGACTGTCCAGGGTAACGCCCACGAAGGGGTGCTGAGCCTCCATGATTGAAAAAACTGAAATCAAATGAATGAAAGGGGCGGGCCAGGGACAGGCTGGGGTAGAAAGTGCTAGATGATGCTGGAAGTTACACAGCCAGGAAATGAGTGCGGTCTGTATCTGACTTTCCACAGCTTCTAATACACATTATGGACAGACACTGAATACATTACAGGTGTCACCAACTTAGCAATCATTAAGTATTTCTTATGAATGTCTTTTTAATTTATGGAATATTTTTTGTTCTATGTGGGAGAGGAGAGCCGGCTGTATCGTGAATAGCCATTCAGAATCATTGTGCCTCCTGTGCTGGCATGCGGCTGGCTGTTACTGGTGAGGCAGGTACTTTCCATGCCTCTTTGTATAAATGAGCCCAATGTTACCCATCATCCTCCTGTCACTCCCCAGGGAGCCATCAGCAGGCGGAAGAGACTGAAGAGAAATCGACAGCTCCTGGAGCTTCTGCAAACCCTGAAATCCCCGAGCGCCCAGAACCCTGACCTCCTGCCACCACTAGAAGGCATCCATCCTCCAGGGAAGAAGAAGAAGGTGACACCAGGTGGGATGATGTCCTCTCCAGAATGTCCCTTGGTCTCTCGGTTGTGCTCTGGGCAGTTTGTTCACCAGTTTCCTCAGAGTTCCACCTTAAATTCTTTGAAAAGTCTAATTTACTATAAAGATTTCATCAGTCTGTCAAGACTACACCTGTAACTCATGATTTCCTTGTCCTCGCTATACAATGCAGGGAAGATTCTCGGGGGTGGTGGTTAATAATCAAGGAGAGGACACAGTGGAACAGTCCAAGTAGGAGGGGTGATAGGAGAGGAGACAATTAGCCAGTCCATGAGGGATAATGAAGAAGAGGACACATTGGAACAGTCCATGGGGATAATGAAGGAGAGGACACAGTGTAAGGTAGATAATATGAAAAGGACACATTGGAACACTCCATAAGAGGTCAAGGGAGGGGGGGGATTGAAGGAGAGGACACATTGGAACCATCCAGGGAGATGGAGGAACAAAAGGAGAGGACTCATTGGAACAGTCCAGGGACATGGAGAGGACAATAAAGGAGAAGACACATTGGAACCATCCAGGGAGATGGAGGGACAATAAAGGGGAAGACACAGTGGAACAGTCCAGGGAGATGGAGGGACAATAAAGGGGAAGACACAGTGGAACAGTCCAGGGAGACGGAGGGACAATAAAGGGGAAGACACAGTGGAACAGTCCAGGGATGGAGGGACAATAAAGGGGAAGTGTGGAACAGTCCAGGGAGACGGAGAGACAGTAAAGGAGAAGACACAGTGGAACAGTCCAGGGAGATGGAAGGACAATAAAGAAGAGGACATTGGAACAGTCCAGGGAGATGGAGGGACAATAAAGAAGAGAACACAGTGGAGCAGTCCAGGGAGACGGAGGGACAATAAAGGAGAAAACACAGTAGAACAGTCCAGGGAGATGGAGGGAACAGTCCAAGGAATGGAGGGGAGAGAACACAGTGGAACAGTCCAAGGACATGGAGGGACAGTAAAGGAGAAGACACAGTGGAACAGTCCAGGGACATGGAGGGACGAAGACACAGTGGAACAGTCCAGGGAGACGGAGGGACAGTAAAGGAGAATACACAGTGGAACAGTCCAGGGAGACGGAGGGACAATAAAGGAGAAGACACAGTGAAACAGTCCAGGGAGATGGAGGGACAATAAAGGAGAAGACACAGTGGAACAGTCCAGGGAGATGGACAGTAAAGGTCCAGTGGAATAGTCAGGGACATGGAGGGACAGTAAAGGAGAAGGACAGTGGAACAGTCCAGGGAGACGGAGGGACAGTAAAGGAGAAGACACAGTGGAACAGTCCAGGGAGACGGAGGGACAATAAAGGAGAAGACACAGTGGAACAGTCAGTCCAGGGAGATGGAGGGACAGTAAAGGAGAAGACACAGTGGAACAGTCCAGGGAGACAGATGACAGTAAAGGAGAAGACACAGTGGAACAGTCCAGGGAGACGGAGGACAATAAAGGAGAAACAGTGGAACAGTCCAGGGAGACGGAGGGACAGTAAAGGAGAAGACACAGTGGAACAGTCCAGGGAGACGGAGGGACAGTAAAGGAGAAGACACAGTGGAACAGTCCAGGGAGACGGAGGGACAGTAAAGGAGAAGACACAGTGGAACAGTCCAGGGAGATGGTGAAACAATAAAGGAGAGAGGGCACTGTAGAAGTCAATGGGGAGATGAATAAAAATGTAGAAAACGTCTTGGTACAGTTCCTGTTCTAACAGTGTTCACTCTGTTCCTTCCATCTGTAGGTATCAGTCCTACAAAGTCTTCCACCCACAACTCCGAGGCTCCTCCCCCCGACACAGGAACACGACTGAGCCGCAAGCAATGGAAGAATAAAATTAAAAACAAGAAGAAGAATAGAAACAAGTTTAAGCCATGTGACAGTGAAGAGAAAGGAGAATCTAGGAGAGGTGGGGAGAAGTCTGAATGTCATCCCCTAAGGGACCCAAGCAGGGACCTTGGTGGGAAAGGAAAGAGATTGAAGAAAGACAGAGGAGGACCAGAAACTGGATCTCATATAATTGTCCAGGCAGGAAGTGTAAAGAGAAGCAGAAATGAAGCAGAGGAAGAGACTGACCTCCATGGGGGTAGTCCTACAGACAAAGATGAAGGGCAGAAGAAGGTCTGCAGGAAGGAGAAGAAGATACCAGGAGACAGTAAATGTGACTTAGCTTCGCCTAGAATGACGGCAGTGGACAAGGCCAGATTGGAGAAGCTGAAGAAGCTGCTGGAAAAAGAGAAAGCTAAGGGGAATAAAGACATGACCGCTGATGAGAATCCTGAAGACTCCACTGGTGCTGATGACCCAATTTCACCAGAAAGGAGAGGGTCCTGACCGCTCAGTCACTCTGCGCACCCGTATGGAGCAGAGGCTGCATTCTGCTCGCTTTCGATACATTAATGAACAGCTGTACACATCAGACAGTCGGGAAGCTGTGCACCTCTTCCAGAGTGACCCTGAGGCCTTCACCATCTATCACACGGGATTCTCTCAACAGGTCCAACGCTGGCCCGTCAACCCCATCACCGAGATCATCAAATATATCAAAAACAGGTGAGTGCTGGGAATATTCAGGGGAGGTGGGGTGCAAGGGGATATATGGAGGAGGATGCAGGGAATGCATAGCAGAGGGTGTGGGGAATGTACAGAGAAAGGTGCAGGAAGTTTCTGGGGAAGAGTGGATAGGGTTGGATGGTTTGGATAGTCTTTTGGGGAGTGTTCAGCAGGAGAATTGTAGAGGAGGAAGCGGAAAGTGTTCCGGTAACAGTGGGGGAATACTGTAGATTGCAGGGGTAGGCAACCATAAAGAGATGGTGATCTACCTGAACAACATGGGAGAAGTCAGAGATCACCGGGCACAGTGTCGCCTCCTCACACCTGATTTAAATCTTCGTTGCTGTACTACCGTGTCGCAGTCGCATGCATTCGATGGCAATCATGGGTTTAAATCAGGTGGTGAGAAGGAAGCATATCACCTCCACACCACCTGCCAAACACACTCGGATCGCTTTTCAGAGGAGCAGCAGTGCCCGCTTCACTTGTGAATGAGCCTTTAGTTGCATTCGGCAGCTGTACCGTTAGGGCTCATACACCGGTTAAAGTTGAGGAGTGGTAAAACCATGTGGTTTAATCGTGGTTTTACCTCTCCCCCAATCCCTACTCCCTTTAGCTGCTGAGGCAGCAGCCAGAGGTGTATACAGGCCCTAGCAGAAATTAAATGTCATGTTGCTTTTAGTGGGTGTTACCATCTGCCAATCGCGACCTATTCAAGTACATGGGGCAACTCTGCAACTGCCCCACATGCTTCTGTGGGGTCCAAGGGGTTAAAGTATGTGGTGAGAAAGCAACACAATGCTGCCTGCTTTAACCCCTTGTTTGCTATACTGCACAGGGTTGAGGCAGAGCGGCCTCATTCACTTGAGTGGGTCATGCTTGGCAGGTGCTACACCCACCAACCACAGGGCGTATAGCTTCTGCGACATGTGTACTGCCCTGGCCACTGTAGCTAAAGCAGGTGGAGGTGATAAAAACACATCTTAACTATTAGGTTTTACCACCCCCCCAAACTGTAAATGTAAATTAACCCTTACTGTTCTGAGCCCCCTATAAGGCTGCTTTCAAGCTGATGTGTTGCGGTTCGCCAGCACCGCGGGTGCAGCGCAGTGCATCTTCGACTTTCCTGGGTCAGCTGCGCTTTGCCATAGGCTGCTATGATATCCTGCAGGTGTGGTGCACTTTCTGAAAGCACACCAAAACTCCTGCATTCAAGAGTTTTGATTCACTTTCAGAAAGTGCACCACACCAGCAGGATATAATAGAAGTCTATGACTAAGCGCAGCAAACCTGCAGATACACTGCACCAGCGGTGTGGGTAAACCGCAGCACACCAGTGTGAAAGCAGGCTTATGCTATTATGCCCAGTGTATTGTTTCACGCTGACCTGAAGATCTCTTCTTTCCTGATGCTGTCACCACTCAGGAGAACTCTAGCCAGGATAAGAGGTGGATTGCAGGTGGTACCACTCCACATGGGACAGGAGCTGGCACTACATTGGCTCTTGCTCTGTACTACAGCGCCAGCATTGCATTCTGTTTGGTGCTGTGGGATGGCGGGTCAGCAAGCGTAGTCCATGATCTACCTGTCACCTGGCCACATCTACTGGTAGATCGCAATCTACTGGCTGCTGGACCCCCAGTATATATTGTATGTTCAAAGGTTTAAAATGCGCTTGTTGGATCACAAAATCATATAGCGTTCAAGCCCCCCCCCCCCCCCCCCCCCCCCCCATGCTTTGCAGCTACCTTGGTCTCCACTTTTCTTGGAAGGCGTTCCGCAAGATTTTGGAGGGTGTCTGTGGGAATTTGGGCCCATTAAGCCAAAAGAGCACTGTTGAGGTCAAGTACTGATGTTGAATGAGGAGACATGGTTCACAGTTGGAGTTCCAATTCATTCCAAAGGGTTGAGGTCAGGGTTCTCTGCAGACGCTTCGAGTTCCTCCACACCAAAGTGGTTAAGCCATGTCTTTATGGAGCTGGCTTTGTACACAGTCATGGTGGAACAGAAAAGGGCCTTCACCAAGCTGTTGTCACAAGGTTAGAAGAGTACAGTTGTCTAAAATGTCTTTGTACGCCATAGTATCAGCAGGACCCTTCATTGGAAACACCTGAACCCAATTGTTTGAAGGCGGTCCTCATACGTTTTGAGAATATACTAGGGAGGATATGAGATATTTGGGGGGGGTCACTCTACAGCTTTTGTTGAATTCACACACATCGTTAATGGTGGTCACTCTTTATGTTCTAGGCCTTCCTCACTGGTGGTGGCAGATTTCGGCTGTGGTGATGCTCAGCTGGCACGTAGCGTTCGAAATAAAGTTCACTCCTTTGATCTGGTGGCTTTGAATGATCTTGTGACTGTGTGTGACATGGCGCAGGTAAGGAGTCGAAATTACCACAGCATTGATTGCAGACCTTGTCGAATGTATCACTAGATGCACAGATAACAGAGATGGGGGTCCAAATGGGGGGGGGGGGCGCAGGCAGGGGATCAGAAGAGCTTCAGTTGGGTTCCATTAGCATTTTCTCTCCGAATGTCCTCTGTGGCCTGATAACAAAGTCCCCCCCCCCCAATATGTGACTGTTACTGCTGGTAGCGGAGAGTCCTCTGTCAGCCTCTGTCTGCAGTCCTGTCGCCTGTCTATGGAATAGTCTTCTGACTCTACCTCCACCAATCCCCTTCAGTGTCTCTGCACTTTCGCCTGTCTCTAGGTACCGCTGTTGGATGGGATTGTCGATATCGCCGTCTTCTGTCTGTCACTGATGGGGAAGAATCTCAATGATTTTCTAAAAGAAGCAAATCGGGTTTTGAAGATGGAGTAAGTACTTCTCTCCTGCCGTCTCATTGAGTTTAGGCTTAGCAACTTCTTACTATTAGGCTGCTTTCACACTGATCCGCTTTTGGTGCGTTCTTCAAAAAGCGTAAGAAAACAACATCCCTTTAAATCCTATGTAGCTCTTCACACTGGTCCATTGCACTTCAGTTGTGGTTAACAAAAAAAAAAAATCTAGGTTGCTGCATTTTTGGTGCATGTTTGGTCCAGTAAAAAAACCAAACAAAGAAACACACCAATAAGGCATCCCTCCATTGAAATGAATGGAAACTGCATCAAAAATGCAACAAGCCTGTGGAAGTAAGTCCTGGTTAACAGAATCGCATGACAAGGGAAATCACATTATGTTCAATGGTGCTCTTCTAATCAACTCGGCACAGAGCGATTGTGGAAAAGGTTCCCTCAATTTCAGCCCCATAAACTTCTATGTTATCTTACAGAAGTCACATCAGCATGGATAAGAAGCACTCCTATAGACTTTGATGGATTCAGTGGTTTTTTTTTTACCATCTCCTCTCCTTCCTGCTCATCCTTTATCTATGGATTCCTTTGATCGACTGATCCCTTCCTTTGATGATCGACTGGCCCTTCCTTTGATCAGCGGCCGGCCCGTCCTTTGATGGAAGGAATCGATTGATCGAAGAGAAGGATCGATTGCTTATCCTTAGTTTTTTTTTAGGCAGAGGAAGGATCAGTTACTGCTCAAAGTAGATTGTTTGTTTTTTATCCATGCTGTAAACCATAGGCTGAAATTTAAGTGCAGCAAGGATGAGGGAGGACAGTCATAGGTTTCCTCGAGGGGGGGTTTTAAACTAGTCGCTGAGGTTAAGTCTCCCATGCTCCTTGAGAGTCAGTAAAGGTCTCTTATTTCTCTCTCCTACTGGGGTGTCACTGAGCTCAGCAGTCTTTTATGAGACCATAACAGGTTCTTAGGTCTCTTTCTCTTACAGGTTCTTAGCTCTCTTTCTCTTGGGGGGGGGGGTTGTTAATCAGCAGTCCCTTTTTGACCGTAAAGATTTCTTATCTTTTGCAGAGGGTATTATCATTGTGAGTCATAATAAGATTGTCAAGACAGTCTCTTATCTTTATGTCAAGGGGGAGATACTGATCACATTGCAGTCAGCAGTCTCTTATTAGACAGTCAATGAAGACCACTTCTCTCTTTCTCCTGAAATCGCACTGCCGCGGCAACTGCCGGAATATGGTGTGCCGTGATTTTTCTGTAACATTGGCTTCGGCTCACATAGACCAATCATTGAATCAAATGATTCAAAAGCCGCGGCTCTCGCGAGCCACATGCGGCTCACTTTAAACTAATGCGGTGTGCCGGGCGCCTGCTCCCCTAGGCTCCCCTGCCTCCTCTCGGTTGGCAGCCCAAAAGTTCTTTTAATCCGGCTTGCGGAGTCATAGGATGTGTTAGGCGGGGCAGCGGCCCTGAGGGAGGGGGGCTCCTCTCACTACCCGAACGGCGCGGGAAGACAGCGAGAGGAACGCAGTGAATTGACCATGCTTACCTAGAAGGGGGGGGGGGAGAGTGTGGGGGAGTACTATATGAGATGTCTCTTATTGAAATACTCCTAGTAGGGGGATGTCATCAGGGATGTACATATGAGGGATGAAATCATGAAATACTATATGGGGGGATGAAATACTATATGGGGGGATGAATTACTATATGAGGGTGAAATACTTTATGGGGGGATGAAATACTTATATGAGGGATGAAATACTTATGGGGGGTCTCTATTCTGAATTACAGGGATTCTATTAGAAATCTATTTCTCTTGAGGGGATGAAATACTATAATGGGGGGGGGGGGGAAATACTATATGGGGATGGAGGGTTGAAATTATATGAGGGATGTCAGCTATATGGGGGGTGAAATACTTTTTGAAATACTATATGACCGTGAAAGATACTTATTATCTATTTGCAGAGGGATTATGAATTACTATTGAAATCATATGAGGGAGAATTACTATATGAGGGTCACCTATAATGATTTAATCTCTATTGGGGGGGATGAAAATAATTGCAGTCAAGAGAATCTCTTTATATTAGACATATCACAGATAAATTTTTTTAACATTTTCACTTCTCGTGATTTTTTTTTCATGAAAAAAGTGTCTTTGCACTGAAAAAAACACTGTCCTAGAGGGTATTACTGGTCAATGAGGTCAGTAGTCCCTTATTAGACAGTCAGTGAAGACCTCTTCTCTCTTTCTCCTAGAGGGTATTACTGGTCAATGAGGTCAGCAGGCTCTCTTATGAGGCAGTCAAATGAAGGTCTTGTATCTCACTCAGAAGGGTGTTACTCATCGCTGAGGTTAGCAGTCTCTTATGAGAAAATCAGTGAGGGTCTCTTATCTCTCCTAGAAGGGTGTTACTGGTCCCAAAGGTTAGCAGTCTCTTATAAGACAGAACCATTCTTGTATCTCTTTCTTTCTCTCATAGGGGGGTGTTGCTGGTTGCTGAGGTCAGCAGTCGGTTTGATGACGTCAGGCAGTTTCTTACCGCCATTGCACAGTTGGGATTCAAGTCCGTAAATAAGGTAAGCTGGGTCACTGAATTCTCACGGATGGGAGATTTTGGTAGATGGAACTCTAGAGGGCTGGGAGAGCTCACTGCCTGTCTGTATTGCAGGCCGCTGCACCCGGTGCCGGCAGATCACTGCAGTGAAGGGGTTTAGTTGACGTACATTCTTTGCGCTGTGGACTTGTTCATCCGCAGGACAAAATGCTGGAAAGTCAGAAGTGTAAAATAATCCTACTTTATGGGGTGGTGAGCATAAACAGAGTCACGGTCATTTACTGCATTTACCAATTGGTTTCTTGTGATAAATTGGTTTTCTCTGGGACATTTTACCCCCAAACCCCTTCCCTGCATGCTGCAATGGTGAGCAAGCTGAAATATCAGAATGGTTGGGGAGATACCTGAAAGCTCCAAGCATGCACACAGCAAAGACGTATCTTATGGAATCAATATTTGTGATTTTGCTTTGAGTTCCAGTAGTGGGCAGCTTGGTGCTTACAGCTCTTCTCTACTACTTCATCACATGATTGCAGGTCCTGAGGGAAGGTTGGACCATTCATATGAAGGGTTAAAGCAGAGTTCCACCTGAAAAAAAAAATAAAAGTCAGCAGCTACAAAAACTGCAGCTGCTGACTTTTAAAATACAGATACTTACCTGTCCCTCGGTCCAGCGGTGTCCTCACTATGGCTGGTTTCACCAGCCGTCTTCTCTCCCTGGCGCCAGCATCTTCAGTGTGGGCACCCGGCTGTGACAGCTTGCGGCTTCACAGCCAGGTGCCCACTGCGCATGCGCGAGAAGCTTTGTGAATGGGCCCATAGTCTTCGGGTACTTGTCACGTTTCACAGAAGACTATGGGGAGGACAACTTCTGATTTCGCGAAAGTGGGAACGGGTAGCTGTCAAATTTGGGTACCCGCTCCCCAAAGGTGCCAATCCTTAATGGGGAGCTTGGGACAAAGGCTTAAAGCGCAACTTCTCCTTTTGGGTGGAGCTCCGCTTTAATTATAAATGAAAAATCCAAAGCTATGGTATGCTTATGATGCAACACTTGTATTTCTTTCCCCAGAATACAGACAACAGTCACTTCTATCTCTTTGAATTCAGTAAAGTCCGTTTGGCACGTGATGCTTCCAGACATCCGGGACTGCAGCTCAAACCGTGTCTGTACAAGAAAGAGGTGATTTGGCCGGGACCCCTCGGACAATGGTAGTGATTGGCCGGAACTCTGGAGGTGACTGACAGACTTCCAAGGCACCTGACTTGATTACCTGGGACTCCTGCAACACTGGAGGTGATTGGTTGGGCCCCCATGGACAACTGCCTGTACCATCATGAGACTGGAAGAAATTGCCTAGGACCCGCAGGAAACTAACTATATAAATACATTTTTATTTTGTACAAATCTTATTGTTTCACATGGATTATGTAAATTGAGCTGAGGGGTAACTGGAGATTGTGTTGCGGAGGGACAGACAGCACTCCTTTGGAGATCCAACCATACCATAGAATCCACAGCTCCATTTTAAACTTGCCTACATAAAGTGCTTGTTTACCAGCCATCACCAACCTCCCCCCAAGCTGTGTACGCCTGCTAACATCTCCCCATATGGTGAATGGACAATGACAGAGCTGACCCGCATATGAAAATTCCAGTTGCTTATCTCTTGACCAGACCATCTGGCTCCAATACTTTGAGTCCTTATGTGCCTACTTGTCCAAGGTATTGAAGCCAGAGGCCGCTAACATTTCCAAGGTAGATCCTTCAGATGCCCGAGATTTCCTTCAATCACACAGACTGGAGAAGTCAGATGAGGGGAGGGATTTGCAGATTAATCAAGCCTCCTGTGTTTGATTTACCCCAGCTGTAAATCTGGAATCCTTCACATAGATATTGTCTAACGCAGGAGTCTCCAAACTGTGCCCCAAGGGCTGGACATGGCCCTTTGCTTCCATTTATCCGGCCCTTGGGGCACTATTCCTCCCACTGCGACCAACCATGGGGCAACACTTCTTCCATTGAAACCATTGATGGTGCATTATTCTTCCCACTAATACCAATGATGGGGCACTACTTCTCCAACTGACCATCAACCCGGAGGCCATGTTTATTCTCACTGATGCTGGGGCCAAGACATTTTCTATCCTCGCTAGCCCTAATCCAGCCCTCCTGAAGTCTGAAGGACAATATAATGGCCCTTTGTTTGGAGACTCCTGGTATAACACTTCAGCATACACATTTCTTCCTAGAACTTTCAGATCTATGATACATTTTGGAATATTTATACAGAGAAAAGGTTGAAACCAGATGGTAACTTGTTTCATTTTTGTACAGGTGTCATCTCAAAAATTATGTAAAAAAAAAAGAAAAACCCCATCAAATAACACCCACAAAAACTATGGGGACTTTAACCGCTTGCGAACCAGTAACGTACCCATATTTCACTGGACAGAAATTGGAGTGGCTTTAAAGCTGAACATGTTTGGTATCTATTTACTTGGCATAGCATCATCTTTTACATTTTATAAAAAGTTGGTTGTTGTTTTTTTGTATTAAACTTAAAGTGTATTTTTTTCCCAAAAAAATTGCATTTGAAAAACAATTGCGCAAATACTGTGTGTGACACATAAAAAAAATTGCAAAACCCACCATTTTATTCTCTAAGGCCTCTACTTTAAAAAAAAAAAATGTTTGGGGTTTTTTAACTAGTTTTCAAGCAAAAAATAGTTGATTTTTACAAGTTTGGCTGGCACACAAAGTACGAGCAGACAGGTTCCATTGGGTAGAGTGTTGTGAGCTCCACGCTGTCTGCCATAATTCAGTGTTGCGGGGGGCATCATCTGCTGCTGCTTTGCAAAGAGTCACATGGAGCTCTGATCTCCGGTCCAGTCTCACTGCATGCCTACAGCCACCTTGCTAGCTTTGGACCCTCATTGGCTACCAGCTGTCTGTGTTTTGTGGATACCATAGGCCTTGCCTCATACCCTGAGCTTAGTTACATCATGCGGTCGCATTATGCATCTAGACATGTAGGGGGCAGTTAGCCAGAGAGCCCCAGCTCACACTCTCCTAATAGTTCTGGGAGACATTTACTCCTGTACCTTCTGTGATCTGGAATCTTGTTTCCCTATGGCTATAGGGTCTACCTCAATGGAGACCTCCTTTGCCTCACCTGTTGGAGGCACAGTCCCTTGCCTCTGTGCCCGAGGCCTCTACTGCAGTCACACAGGACTTTGTGGCTGAATCCAACCATTTCCTCATTAGTGCTGACCACAGAGGCTCCAAGTGCACTCCTGCACATTTTCCTGCAGAGTCCTTCTCTGATCTCACCATGCGGGACAAGAAAAAGGCTTTTATAGTGCACTTTTAACAACTTAAATACCGGACACTTTCAACCCCTTCCTGCCCGAGCAATTTTCAGCCATCTCACACATTGACAATTGCACTGTCCTGCAACCCTGGACCCATATTACATTTTTCATACAAATAGAGTTTTCTTTTGGTGGTGTTTAATCACCGCTGGAATTTTTTTTTTTTTTTCTAAATAAAAAAAAAAGACATAAAATTTTGCAAATAAAAACACGTTCTTTTTCAAATTTTTCAAACAAACATTCTTCATAAATTTAGGCCAAACTGTATTCTGCTACATTTCTTTGGTGAAAGTAACCCAAATCAGCGTTTGTAGAGTCTATAACTTCTCAACAGACTAAACTATGGGATATATATATACAGTCATGGCCGAAATTGTTGAAATTGTGCACCCTTGATATTTTCTCCAGGAAATCATGTATTTCTCACGAAACGTATTGCATTAACACATGTTTTGCTATACACATGTTTATTCCCTTTGTGTGTATTGGGACAAAACAAAAAAAGGGAGGAAAGAAAGAAGCAAATTCGACATAATGTCACACAAACCTCCAAAAATGGGCTGGACAAAAGTATTGGCACCCTTTCACAACTGCGGATAAATAAGAATGTTACAAGCATGTGATGCTCCTGTAAACTCACCTGGGGCAAGTAACAGGTGTGGGCAATATAGAAATCACACCTGAAAGCAGATAAAAAGGAGAGACGTTCACTTAACCTTTGCATTGTGTGTCTGTCTGTGCCACACTAAGCATGGACAACAGAAAGAGAGGAGACGAGAACTGTCTGAGGACCTGAGAACCAAAATTGTGGCAAAATATCAACAATCTCAAGGTTACAAGTCCATCTCCAGAGAACTAGATTTGCCTTTGTCCACAGTGCGCAACATTATCAAGAAGTTGAACCCATGGCACTGTAGCTAATCTCCCTGGTCGTGGACGGATGAGGAAAATTGATGAAAGATTGCAACGCAGAATAGTCCGGATGGTGGATAAGCAGCCCCAAACATGTTCCAAAGACATTCAAGCTGTCCTGCAGGCTCAGGGAGCATCAGTGTCAGCGCGAACTATCCGTCGACATTTAAATGAAATGAAACGCTATGGCAGGAGACCCAGGAGGACCCCACTGCTGACACAGAGACATAAAAAAGCAAGACTACAGTTTGCCAAAATGTACTTGAGTAAGCCAAAAGCCTTCTGGGAAAACGTCTTGTGGACAGATGAGACCAAGATAGAGCTTTTCGGTAAAGCACATCATTCTACTGTTTACCGAAAACGGAATGAGGCCTACAAAGAACAAAACACAGTCACCTACGGTAAAATATGGTGGAGGTTCAATGATGTTTTGGGGTTGTTTTGCTGCCTCTGGCACTGGGTGCCTTGACTGTGTGCAAGGCATCATGAAATCTGAGGATTACCAAAGGATTTTGGGTCGCACTGTAGGGCCCAGTGTCAGAAAGCTGGGTTTGCGTCCAAGATCCTGGGTCTTCCAGCAGGACAATGACCCCAAACATACGTCAAAAAGCACTCAGAAATGGATGGCAAAGAAGCGCTGGAGAGTTCTGAAGTGGCCAGCAATGAGCCCAGATCTAAATCCCATTGAACACCTGTGGAGAGATCTTAAAATTGCTGTTGGGAAAAGGTGTCCTTCCAATAAGAGAGACCTGAGCTGTTTGCAAAGGAAGAGTGGTCCAAAATTCCGGGTGAGAGGTGTCAGAAGCTTATTGATGGTTATAGGAAGCGACTGATTTCAGTTATGTTTTCCAAAGGGTGTGCAACCAAATATTAAGTTAAAGGGTGCCAATACTTTTGTCCAGCCCATTTTTGGGGTTTTGTGTGACATTATGTCATATTTGCTTTTCTGCCTCTGTTTTATATTTGTTCCATACATACAACAAAGGGTTCTTAAACATGTGTATAGCAAAACATGTGTTAATGCAATACCTTTTTTGTGTGAAATACTTGATTTTCAGGAAAAATATCAAGGGTGCCAACAATTTCGGCCATGACTGTATGTATGAAAATCGATAAATCCTGATTTACTGACAATCTAATTTCTTGGGGCCTGAAAATGCCAGGACAGTATAAGTACCCCCCAAATGAGGCTGTTTTGGAAAGCAGACAGTGCAAGGTAATTAGTAAGAGGTACGGTAAGTTTTATGTAGTTGTACATTTTTTTTAATGACAATGTTTACAGAAATTAAGAAATTTTAAGGTTTTACTTTTTTTTTTTTTTTTTACGTACAGTCACCAGTGCAGTGCAGCATCAGCCATTATCATATAACAGGTGTGGCAGTAATCAGAGACTGACTGGTGACAGTATGTAAACAAAACAAAAAAGGTTTAACCACTTGCCTACCAGGCACTTATACCCCCTTATTTACCAGGCCAATTTTCAGCTTTCAGCGCTGCCGCACTTTGATTGACAATTGCGCGGTCATGCAACATTGTACCCATATGAAATTTTGATCATTTTTTTCTCACAAATAGAGCTTTCTTTTGGTGGTATTTAATTGCCACTGGGCGCTTTACTTTTTGCGCTATAAATTAAAAAATTGCAAAAAATTTGAAAAAAAAAAGTTTCTTTGTTTCTATTATAAAATTTTTCAAACAGGTATTTTTTCTCCTTCACTGATGTGCGTTGATGAGGCGGCACTGATGGGCACTGATAGGGAGCACTAAAGGGCACTGATAGGCAGTACTAACGAGGTGGCACGGATAGGCGGCACTGATAGGCAGCACTAATGAGGTGTCACGGATATGCGGCACTGATAGGCAGCACTAATGAGGTGTCACGGATATGCGGCACTAATATGCAGCACTGATAGGTGACACTGATGATGG